GTATGGGAAAGAGGAAATTTGCGATGTTCTGTTTGTCGATTATGTACACTTGCTCAAAATTTTTGTATGATTCCTGTTTCTTTGACACAGTCTTTTCAGAACTCCTAGTGAAGTTGCAGCCTTTTCTGCAAGGACTGCTCATAGTATGCTGTTACTTACTTACTAGTATTTATTCACAGATTCAAGATTGTTTTCTAGTTACACATGTACCAAGTAAATTTATGTTTTGTTTTGTTTTAGAATGAACCCCAGGACCTCTTATTTATTTTGACTGCAAGGTACAGGGTATTCATTCTTAGTTACAAACCAGAGACTGGTGATGTTGTTACCAGGGCTTGTGGAGATGTCCAGGTAAATGTCGTGTGAGTTACTATGCATTTATAACCCATCTCTATGTGTTATTTTCTAAATGTAAATTATGTACATTTGTACCTTGAACAATCCTTACCTACATGTGTTTAATCAGGGAGATAATTTTTGAGGTAAGTGGTGTGGTGTTATTTTAGCAAATTTCCTGTGAAGATAGACTGGGTCACCTAATAGTTAAATGTATTTGTTTGTTTTCTTGTCAGGATCGAATTGGCAGGCCATCAGACACAGGTTTGATTGGTATTATAGATCCACAGTGCCGTATGATCGGTCTCAGACTTTATGATGGACTGTTTAAAGTTATTCCTTTGGAGCTGGACTCAAACAAAGAACTCAAAGCATTTAACATAAGGTAAGGGCAGTAGATTAATTTTTTACCTTGAGCAATCTATTGTGCATTAAATTATGGCATTGTACACATGGTATATTACATGTACATGTATAATGGTCTGACTGATAATTGTTTTTTATGAAAGGTTTCAGGGTGCGAAGAAACAAATACCAGCTTATATTATAGATTTAGTTGTACCTCTCTCTCTTGGCCTAGAATTATACAAAAAGAAGCATTAACTGAGCTGGACATTGTTCATTAATGTCCGGTTTTATGTCCATTTTGATGTAATTTCTTTTTTGTCAGACTTGAAGAGCTTCATGTGATTGACATTGCATTCCTTCATGGCTGCCAAGTCCCTACAATTGTTTTTATTTATCAGGTATGTAGAGAAAAGCAAGGATAATTAGGTTGCGGTATGGTAAATGACTGTCATGCATGTGTATAGTCTTCACTTGATTAGTTGATAGTCTATACATCTTGCTTTGATTCTCAGTCCTTATTACAAACCAGAGTTATATTGCAGTTTAGTAGAAGGTAAATGAAAGAAACCTTCCCCACTACTTCACTGTATTCCCTAAGTCCTCAAGGCAATGCTCTTTTTCAATAGGATCCTCATGGTCGCCATGTCAAAACATATGAGATTATACTCAGAGATAAAGAGTTCAACAGAGGTCCTTGGAAACAAGACAATGTGGAGGTGGAGGCATCAAGAGTTATTGCAGGTAATAATTGCTTGCTGTATCCACACGTGTATGCATATGTACTCTTGTGTGCACGAGTCAAACTAAATCTGTTGGGGTGTACATGTAGCAAGTGATCCTAGGGGCTAATTGTGAGGTTTGTTCCAGACGAAGTGAAATGTAGTTTTGTTTACTGATCAATCTTTTGAAAAGTTATTTAAGGGGAAAGCTCTTTGTTGTCTCATCTCAGAACTTGAATCACTCAACTTGACACTCGAAGCTTGTGACTTGAAACTTGAAGTTCACTGCTTGAGACTCAATACTTGTAGTATGTGAGTTTTGATGATCAAGGTTGAGTTGAGATGTCCAGTCGAACCTCGATTATCCGGACCTCAATTATCCAGACTATTCGATTATCTGGCCTTTTTTTCTCTGGTCCCAATTTTTTCATGAATATTAATTAGTTGTGATCTTAAAAACTCAAATTATCCTGTGCGCTTTTCAAAATTTGCAAGTGCGACGAGACAAAGAAATATTCTGATGCGTTCAGCTGATATCTGATTGGCTCAATTGTTTTGTTACCACGAGAATTTCATGCTTGATTAGTTCCTTCCGCGTGGGTTATGTAAACACAAGCAATCGATCATAAACTCAAATCAAAAACATGTCTACGATGCGAAAGCGAGCCGTTCTATCAATTAAAGATAAACAGATAATTATTTCACGTTTGGAGAAAGGAGAGAAAGGAACAAATTTAGCTCAAGAATTTGGCAACAGCAAGCAGCAGATCTCTGAATACAGAAGAACAAAGACAAGATCCTAAAATTTACTGACAGCATCGAAATGAAAGTCCCTATCAAGCTACATGTACAAGTCTTTGAAGCAAACAAACATGCTTGAACACTTTAGACCTTTGTAAATACCTGAACGGAAGGTTTTTATTCGTAAATACATAAAGGTTGTGTAGATTTCACAATTAAAATGATGTTTTCTTTGCTGTATACCTTTTGTTTACATTTCTATCTCATTAATAAACATGTTTTTGATTATCCGGACTCTTGATTATCCAGACTATTTACCGAGGTCCCGATGAGTGCGGATAATCAAGGTTCGACTGTACAGTGACACCAGCCAATCACCTCCTGAACCCTCCTACATGTATGAGGCAAGGGGGTCAAATAGGAAAAAAAAAATACTGTTTTAAAAGTGTCATGGTATTTAGCACCACTGTGCTGATTGAGAGCACTATAAATAAATAAAGAAATATAATTGTAAATAGATCTGAAAACCGGTTGGAGGCTGACCAGTGGGCTATTTACAAACACTACTCTGTTTAGTGGCAAGGGGGCTGTTTGAACCCAGGACCTCCGAATTACAAATCCAACTACCTGGCCACTAGGCCATGACACCTCCACTAGGAATTGCTTTTGGTGAATAGTTAAGAGCTTCTAAGTGTCACTGCTTTTTTACTTACATGTTGGTGTGTGTGGGTTCTTGACTGGATACCCTTCTCTTATCTGCCAGAACAGTGATTTTCAACCGTAATGATTTCTTTTCCCCATGCATGAAAAAGAGATATCAGTGATCTTATGTACACTATGATGATGTTCAGTTCCAGAACCATTAGGTGGGGCTCTCATTATTGGACAAGAGTCAATAACATACCATAAAGGAGCTAATTATCACGCTATCGCTCCTCCTGCTCTGAAGGTAAACAAGACGTTACATGCTAAACTATAAATGCACTTACTGCACAGACAGATTCTTTCAGTGATCGGATCATTTTAACTGTTTGTTTGTCAGATTGCACAATTAAACAGTTTGCTGATACCAATTAGTACTCTGAGGGAGAGGGAGTGGTGAAAAGGTAGTAATTCATTGGGAGGGTATAGTGTATTGCCAACGAATTCAACACAGTATGTCACTAGCCAGGGCTGGAACTTATAGTAGTCTCCTTTATCCAGAGCTTGATCTCACCATAGTTATTAATATCAGTTATAGCACCACTTGTTCCACCTTCAGTGTTGGCCATGTACATCAAGCATTAAGTAAATACAATATTTGGAACACCATTTCTTTGTGAACATTGCAGCAAAGCACCATCACGTGCTACGGGAAGATCGATGCTAATGGCTCACGGTATCTCTTGGGTGACATGAATGGACGTCTCTTCATGTTACTTCTTGAGAAGCAAGAGCTAATGGATGGAAGCATTGAAGTCAAAGATCTCAAACTGGAACTTCTAGGAGAGGTAGAGTACACAAGAATGACACTTAAATGTATCTAGACTTGTAATTTATCTTGTGGTACACTCATTGCAGATAACAATGGCTTTGTGATGAAAGATTATTTTGTTATTTCTCCTAATACTACACATGTAAGGATTGTACATCTAACTTCACATTTGCTGTATAGTTCCTAATTAAAATCAGCATAGTTTTTCTTTGCTTTAAAAAATATTTTTGTTCAATTTAGACATCAACTGCACACTGCCTTACATACTTGGACAACGGAGTGGTTTTCATTGGTTCTGCTCTGGGAGACTCACAGTTAGTTAAGGTACATTGTTATATATTACATGTCACATGGTTTGATTGATTGACAGCTCGGGTTGATTCTACTTACGACGATTGTTCATTGTTTTTTATCAGCTCAACACAGAGACAAATGAGGATGGTTCACATGTTCATGTGATGGAAACATTTACAAACCTAGGTCCTATTGTTGATATGGTAGTGGTAGATTTAGAAAGACAAGGTCAGGGGCAGGTAGGTGTGACTTCCACGTTTTAAAAGCCAATTATTAAATGTACTTCTGCCATAAATCTGTAGACTTTTTACTGGTTATCATGTTTATGTAAATTATTAAATTTCCATCCCAACTTAGCAAATGTAAACCACATTCATATACATGTATGACTGCAGCTTTTCAAAATCATGTGGCTCTCAAGTTCAAAACCCAATAATACAGTACAACATTCAGTGAACCTGGAAAAAAGAAACAAACAAAACGGTTCAAAATCTACACATAAACTTATGAGACCTTTTAAACCAGCCATTAGAGTGAACGTCTATTTTTCTTAGAGGTCTACTAAGATGATTGATACCTGTGAGAAATGCTGCCACTGGTTGAGAATTAAATTTTAGAGTTAAAAGATGATGGAATGATACATTGCATGTGTGGATAGAGGAACTCAGAAAATGTTTTTCAGAGTTTACCGATGGGATTCATGACTTACATGATTGTACTTTGAGAGTTAAAATGATTATGAAAAGTACAGTACAACTGTTAGTGAGTACAGCAAGTACATGTTCGGTCCTCGTTTCATGCATGGATTGGAAACTTAATCCACAAGATACACCTGCAACTGTTCTTTACTTGCTTACTTTCTTTCATGTACATGTGTAACAATTTGAGGGGAAACAGAGTTTGATCTCTATTTTTAAATTAACATTAACAGCTTGTGACATGTTCTGGTGCGCTCAAGGAAGGTTCATTAAGAATAATAAGAAATGGAATTGGTATTCATGAACATGCCACAATATCAGATCTGGTTGGCATAATGGGTAAGGTAATTACTCTACTGTTGTTGTGACAGTATCTAATCACAAAATTAATGGAATTTAGTTCATTTACATGTGTAAAACATTAATGTTCAAGACACGAGTGTATAAAATGATTTAATTTTACAAGAAACACTACTTGCATAATTACTATGCACGTACCTTTTTTTGTAATAGGGTACATGTACTTAGGTTAAGTCTCCATACGAGCCAAGTGGCTGATCAGGCTGGAGCTTATCCATCTTTCTGTAGCAAGAAGCAACTAGGAATATGCTAGTCTATCGCAGGGTTACCCCTACCATTAAATTCGCCGGTACCCATTTATACATCTGGGTGGAGAGAGGCAATGTGAGAGTAAAGTGTCTTGCCCAAGAATGCTGACTGCTCAATCTGGAGTCAAGTGCACTAACTACTAACTACTGTATGAGGCCAACTTGCATCCACAATACTTTTTGTACATGTACTGTCAAGTAATTTTAAGTCATGATGTACGTATTATATATTTTAATGGGTTTCATGAACTGTGAGTAATTCTGTTCAATGTACTTTGAACATATAAATTCTACAATGATTAGTAAGATGAATGCGGTATTCACTTTCAAAAATGTTCTTGTTTGATACTATATTATTAATTTTTGTTTGCCATACTAACACTGCTAGGCATTTGGCCCTTAAGATTACGAAAGACAGCGAAGAATTTTGACGATGCATTGCTGCTTTCCTTTGTTGGGCAGAGCAGGTATTTGGTTGAAGTAATTTGTTATAAGTTAAACTGCACATGTACATAATTATATCATCAAAAATTCAGTAAACATACACATATTCCCATGATATAAATTTTGGATCTTTACATGGTAAAAATTAACACATGTTATGTATTACATTGTTAAATGAGCTAATAAAAACAACAAGTTCTATCTTTACATATTACCTGAACCAAAATATGTTCATGGAAACCACCTCATTTGGAGGCTAATTGCTCTGTTATAAAGGTTTTCTTTTCATGTGCCTGTCTTGGTTTGGTACATGTAGTAAGTGCTGCTGTGTACATAGCTANGTAGGTGTTATTTTAGAATGGAATGGTTGATAAACCAGGTTTTCACTGTCGCCATCTTGGATTGTAATTGGATGCTCGACCAGTAGAGGGTTGGTGAAGTGGGGAGGGGAGTGGGGCACTTCATGCCTAGTCCCTTGGCAAATTTTTCCTTGCCCCTATCCTCTACAGTTACCAAATCTAAGATGGTGGCCTAATACGAAAATGTACACTTGAGTGCTCAAAATACACCTGCACTGTAGGCAAGCCTCATTTATAAATTTTTTCTGGCTACAGCCCTGGTAAGCACTGGATTATTCAATGAATGTCACACCATTTCATAATTTTGCCAACTCAAAGTGTACTAACCTGGAGATTGTATACTTTTGTTTACAATACCCAGGTTATGTACGCTTTGTTTATGGAAAAAAAACATCAAATCTTCTCTTTACCTCTTTTTTTTTTTTTTTACAAAAAGAGGACATACGTGTGATATATAGATTTAGCCAAGTCTAAGAGTAAAGCTCCTGATTGCAATAATTCACCATAAACTTAAAGAAAGAGAGGATTTGTAGCTTTTCTTACATCACAAAGTCAAAAAATGAACAAATGTGAACATTTAATTGCTCAGCTTGTGGTTTCACTATTTTTGTAGTTAAATTGTAACAAACTATAATAAGTGTACCCAAGATTGTAGATACTACGTCCACAACATATGTCAGGGACTTTCTAAGAGACGATTGTGCAAGGAAGATGTCGGAAGAAAAGTCAAAAACGTGCCAGGGGTTAATTTGTGCTGAAATTTTGCCTTTGCACATGCTCCCTCCTTCCCCAGAGTAATAACCTGGCTTTAGCCCACGATCCAGTCATTAACCAGTGCCTGGTCAGTGGTCAACTTCAAAAAACACGCGACCCTGATAAGCTCTGACCCTGAGCCAGCGATATGGTCATGTGATACCAGTCAGTGGATGCCTTGTTATGACAGCTGTTAAAATTAACCATAACATGGATTTATTTTTACTTCCCCTGCCCCTACCCCTCCCCCTTGCCCATTTTTTCTACTTTATGCTTACTCCCACAGCAAATTTTTCCTCGTCCCAATCCTCCACAGTTACCAAATCTAAGATGGCGTCTGATACAAAAATATACACTCGTGCCCTCAAAATATGTCTGCACTGCAAGCATGGAATAGTGGAAAGGAATTATATTATCTATCTCTACTGTGTTGTAAACCTGTGATGCTGGATCAGAGTATTTTGTGGCACACTTTACTTTACAATCTGAATGCATGTTAAGACTTCAACATTTAATTTTATAAGAGTAAAATTATTTTGTAGTATCTCATCTTTATAGACTGAATCTTTCAGAATAATAGTTTTGTTGAAATTAAAGGTAATTAGTGGGACTTTCACTGAAATATAGCACAAGTTTCAAATTGCAATGATTAGCACTTTCACCAAAACTTAATTGCTATCAAGTAAAAGTGTTACCCTTCAGGAAAAATTGCAAATTCACCTCTGGTTTGTAACTACCACACTATTTCAGTCAGGTTAATAAAAATGTATATCTTTCAGAAATAATTCCTCGTTCTATACTGAAGACATCCTTTGAAGGCATTCACTACCTGCTGTGTGCACTGGGAGATGGAACCTTGTTTTATTTCACAATGGATCCAAACACTGGTACATGTACATTTGTAAAACATGATTGTGTCTTCTTTACAATCAGAAAAGTTGTCACCAACTGTTCTTTTTGTGTTTCTCATACTGCGGCGTTACATGTAGTTAACACTTACACGTAGATAGCATTTAGAGAATATTAAATTTAATGAAAGAATTATTAAATGTTTGTGACAAAATAGTTTGTGGAAAGTTTGCGGCGAGCTCAAAGTCTCGTTTGCATTAGGCCATTTTCGAGTTACTTTGTACCTCTGTTTCAAAACGAGTCTTCATGCAAAAACCTCTCAGATGAAAATTAGTTTGATTTGTATCAAAATGAACGTGTAGGCGGAAAACATTTTCATATGAATGGCTTGCATGAAGATTCGTTTTGACACTTGGGCAAAAGGCAACTCACAAATGGCCAATTCAAGATGTTAGCAGTCTGGCCTTCTATCGCAGAAAGATTCCCGACTGCACGTCCACGAGTTCACTTATACAATAAAAGAATATTAAATTTGTTTAAATTTCAGGATCCCTCTCTGAGAGGAAGAAAGTGACCCTTGGTACACAGCCTACTATGCTAAGAACGTTCAAGTCACTGGCTACAACAAATGTGTTCGCTTGTTCTGACCGGCCAACAGTGATCTACTCTAGCAACCATAAACTGGTGTTCTCCAATGTTAATCTCAAGGTAGATTTATGAGCCTTGTTACTAAACGAGAACTACATGTCCAACATCAATATAAACACAAGAATTGTTGTTTTAGCACTTTGAAGACTCCTAAAATGGTTAAAGTTTGATAATAAAATTCGACAAGGTTTTGGACTTGGTGCATGGATTCAAACCATGATTCAAACCTGTAAAAGAAGCAACAACAATAACAACAGTACTAAGAAAAGGCACACCTAGGTTTCATTGATCACGTGCAGTTGTCGTCAAATTCATCACCACATGGCCAGAAGCGTGAAATGACCTGAAAAAAAAATTCAGCATGAGATGAAGAATACTTGCAGTCAACAATGTGCAATGGATTTAGTCTCGCCGTTTACTCAGTAAAACGCTAAAAGCACAGTTTCAGGACTGTTAGGAGAAAATGAAAGAAAAACATTTCAAATTCAGGGGAAAGTAAAAGATGTTGCTTCAAGGTTGCGAGGTTTTTCAAATGAGTTTTTTTTGATAATGGTCACAAAACGTTTATCTTATTGAAGTCAGTGAAAGTTGTCTGTGCAAACTAAATTTAAGCAAAGTTAGTGCGTCCACTGGTTACTTTTCGGTTGATCAGTTTTATATTAAACTTTACCGTGAAATGGCCAGTAAAAATTCTTTGTGTTTGCAAAAAAGTCTTGCTTTATTCATGTTGCTGACTACAGCTGTACATTCAAGACATTAAAGCACAGTGTCCTTAGGCAAGTTGAAGTGTGAGAGGCATATGAAATCTAAAATTGTATCTGTTAATTTTGTTCTCCTCTACAGGAAGTGAACTACATGTGCCCACTGAACTCTGAAGGATTCCCAGACAGGTGAAGATTTACTGTTGTACAGTAAAATTACGTATTGCGTGCAGAGTGTACAACTAGTAACCATCACAGTAATGTTGTACATGATGATCATGTCAAACATCGTGTATAAACAAGGCCATCCCTAAATAAAATTTTTGTTTTCAGTTTGCACATTACCATTAACTATTCTGATTTAATTTAAATTACAACTGAAGAGTTGCCCATTATAATTTCATAATTTTTGCACGATTCTTGTCGTAAACACCAATGCTGATATTTGTGGGACTTACGTTACTGTTTCCATTGTCTGCTCTTTATGTTATCCTTTGTTTGTTATCCTTTCAAATGGCCCAAAATGCTATCTTAACTTGGCCTTCTTCTAAAGTGAATGAGATTTATTCTACTGCCTAGAACTGAGGGGTCCCAGAACACTCTGAGGGAAGAGCTCCATACAATTGGTTATTCTCATAGTGTAACCAGTTGTATGCATGGTCTGTGCTTGGGTGTCCTAGCATTTAACCAGTGATTTTTTTTTCTTTTCTGTGCCACAGTCTTGCAGTAGCCAGTGAAGGGGCGCTGACGATAGGAACAATTGATGAAATTCAAAAGCTTCACATTCGAACCGTTCCCTTGGGAGAGACACCAAGGTATAGTAGAGTTAGCTGTTACATGAAGTATCACTCTGCTCCTTTGGTGCTTAAAGCAGTTTTCCATTGAGTATCCTAAAGAGCAAAACCAAAGCAATCACCCTGGCCAATTACATTAACAAAAGACTTGAACAATTCAGTGAACCAATCAAAGATCGAAGGAAATACATGTAACTGAAGCGAAGTGCGGGATAACCTGTGTGGATGAGTCACGATTGGTTTTGATTATACTTGTCAGACTAGGTGGAAAAGTCGCGCAATGTTTTTTAAGTTAATTCTGTAGCATAGTAATGGAAAACCAGAGTAAATGCGAGTTGCTTCCAACACTGAAGTGAAAGCCGCGCAAAACCGCTAGAATATCGTGTTATTTTCTTCAGACGTATTGCATACCAAGATTCCACGCAAACGTTTGGTGTGATTTCAATGCGTATCGAGGTCCTGGATCCGGCGACAAATACCACCCGACCCCTCCACTCCAGCGCCAGTACCATGGCTCAGAACATCACGTCCAGTGTAACGGCTGCCATGCCGGGCACTTCCGCCCGAAGTTCAGCAGGAAACAGAGGCGCTGCCGACGGTATCACATTTGGTGATGAGGTGGAGAAAAGCAGTCTGTTGATCATTGATCAGCACACCTTTGAAGGTACGTAAAAACAACAACATCTACAGCAGGAATAACAACAACATCACTGCAACACCTATGTTGATTTGAAGCCGTCTCTATGTCCTCTTTGAAATTTAAATGGAAGCAAATTGTTGTAGTTTAGTGAAGGGAGTGAAGAAAAAAACGAACAGCCTCCTTTGAGGTTATCTTTATATGCTTTTGAAACGTTATTGGAAGTATGCTATTGAGTATTCTAGCTTAGTTAGCGCGGAATGAAGAAAAAAAGCACAACCACGAATAACTTGTTGACTGAATGAGATGTTTGGCTCTCTGCAGTGACCCACGCCCACGATCTTCAAGATCATGAGTGCGCCACGAGTCTAATATCGTGTACGTTAGGTGATCCAAACAGCTCTTACACCAGTGGAACATCTAACACCTACTACTGCGTTGGAACTGCATACGTCTTCCCTGAAGAAGCTGAACCTAAAACAGGACGGCTGGTCTTATTCCAGCTATTGGACGGTAATTAGGACATAAATAAAGTGATTTGCTAAAAACTTTAAAACTAAAAACTACTAGAGTCAAGTATTGCCTTTGTAGATATAGGGTAAAGACTAAATAAATCAGAACACAAATGGAAAATCGTGTAGTAGTCAGAAAGCGCGGGAAAATAGTGCATTGTTTTAGTCTTGCACCAGATTCGAAAATCAACAACAACAGGGTTCTGAACCTGTTATAGGCCTGAGCAAACGCGAAGTTATCAAAGTAAAGCGCAAACTGATAGCTATTACAGCAGGCATTTAACAAGACAATTCTTGACACGRTTTAAAGTTTTTTGTTAGGGGGTTTAACGAAAAAGTTCTCTTTAGARTATTTGCCAGTCGATAGTTKAGTTCTGAATTTGTGTTGTATTTACTTTGCGAATATCTTATTCGATGAGAGCGGTGTTTGGAATCACATGTGTTTCTTATCAAGATTGTACCATAGCAGGAATAAATTACAACGCCCTCTTTTCATCCCTGCTTTCTTCTGTTGTGAACGGTTTTAGGAAAACTTGTTCAAGTTGCTGAGAAAGAAGTGAAAGGAGCCGTGTACTCACTTGTGGAGTTCAATGGAAAAGTTCTGGCTGGTATTAACAGCACTGTAAGTTGACGGGAACACATTTTGTTTATAAGAGTAACAGAGGCTAAAATTAAATACAGGCAAGGTATTGGCCTTTTCTGCTACATGCGGTAATTAAGAATATTTCTGCTTTTCATTTACAAGCCACGTGGAAATTTTCTTTTCAGAGTAACACGAATAGTACTCGGTGTCTTGTGCATGTATGTACTCCTTAGACAAGTTAAAACCCTACAAACTGGGTGTTTTCGTTGAGATCGTGAGAAGTGAAGGAGTAAAATATGTTTAGAAAACAGTGTAGAGAATTCTCGATGCTTTTAATCGGTCAGGTACTCAATATTTGTGGTCCAGAGATTGGATAAACGGTTCAAATGGAGTGATAATGTTTCAACGCTCAATTCAAATCTCTTGTCGCAAATGGTTTATGAGTACTTTCAGTAAGATTATTCAAGCAGCGAATGAAATAGCATAAATTTAGACGTTGTTAGTTATACACTCGACTAATAAAAGACTAAAAACATCGTCTAGCAACAAAAAAAGTTAATTTGGTCGTTACTTTTCAACAGGTCAGTATATATGAGTGGACGCCGGATAAGGAGTTACGAGTAGAGTGCAGCTTTTTGAATAACATCTTGGCCTTATATCTCAAGTCCAAAGGCGATTTTATATTGGTAAGTGGTGGTAAGTGTTTCCGTTGTGAGATGAATTCATTCATATTGGTCAAAGGCCACGCTCCGTAACTGATGTACATTGTTCCAAATGGTTGGGTAAAAGAATCTGTGCTCTTGTTTCTGAACAAAGGAGCCAAGCCACGGACTGGTGGATGGAAAATTGCTTTGGTTTCCTCGCCTCTGTGATTACGCCAATAAACAGAAATTGATTTTGAATTCAAAAGCGGTAGCTCTGTTTCAAATGGACGGACGGACGGACCGAAATTATCTTTGCTTTTTGTACCTCGTTCTTGACATAACCAAATACACAAATTAATTGAACTGGTCTCAAAACAATTCTTACTATTAGTGTGGAACTGGCTGGGAGAATTTATTTTAATAGTAAGGCATTTCCCTTTCCAGGTTGGTGACTTAATGAGATCCATGACCCTACTGGCCTACAAGTCAATGGAAGGAAGCTTAGAAGAGGCGAGTAGTTAATTTGTGTTTGCATAATTTATGTGATTTCGTCCATTATTTTCGCGGAGTCAATGTACGGGATTGTTCAATCTCACGTCGAGAGCTCGCGTCCACCTTGACCAGCGGTAGCTTCGCGTTTCCGGTAGGTACGTTATGTATGGGGACACACGTTTCCCGTCCGCTGATTAAGGATGTCTGCGCTCTGGTTACGCGTTAAGGATAGTCGATAATTTGTGGTGGAGTTTACAAACGTTTTCTTTCGTTCATTCTTGTCAGATTGCACATGATTACAGCCCAAACTGGATGACAGCTGTGGAGATTCTTGATGACGATACTTTCCTGGGCGCAGAAAATTCGTTCAACCTCTTTACGTGTCAAAAAGACAGCGGTTCAGCGGCCGATGATGACAGATCTTATCTGCAAGAAGCTGGGCAGTTCCACCTGGGAGAGTTTGTTAACGTATTTAGACACGGTACGTGTACTTTTAGCCGCGCAACCAAGGTCGAGTGAACTGTGACCTTTATTCTTCGTGTAGTACTCGCCAGAAAGAGTCGCAAGGCAATGCATTTTGCCAGGGTGCGTTGAATTGACCTTTAGGACTGCCGACCGGGCATAATAGCCGAATTCGTATTAGAGACGAAAATCCAACCATCTTAGATGGGAAACTCGTCTTAAGTAAGTAAGTAACTTTATTTCAACTCGGGTTGATGAGGCTGATTAGGCCCCTAGCAATACAGTCATGCTAATATGCCGAGAAAAATATAAATATCAAAAAAAAAAGAAAAGAAAAAAACATACCTGATCAATCAATGACTACCATTCTAACTATATCAATAAACAAATGCGTCTTGAGACGCAAATGGCCTCTAATTTGAAGCCCTGTGGGTGAAGAACGAATTTCCCGTCTCGAATGTACACGTCCATTTTCCTGACTAAAACGACAGAGAAATACGACAGAAAATTCATCTCAGACGGAAAGGTCTTGATTGGACAAGAAAAGCAGGATTGGTTTTCGTTTAAGTGCAACACAGGGAAGGGAAGAGAGTGGAACTACAAATTCAGGGATGAAATGGTAACCTGGCCTCGCAATCATCCTTAGTAGTCTCTTACGTCTTTGACTGATTTTCCTCTCTCCAATATGTGTTAGGTGGTATTCTGTCAGACGGAATTCCGTCAACTTTAAGTCGCGGTGAAGGCGAAATAACTTGTTTCATTGTTGTTGTTGTGTTTTTTCTCTCTTAGGATCTCTAGTCATGGAACACCCTGGTGAAGCTTCTACGCCTTTTCAAGGCTGCATCCTTTTCGGTACCGTTAATGGCACAATTGGTGAGAGGTTTTCTTTTCATCTTCCTATAGATCTCACCGTCAGTTCGTTAAACCAGGAGCGCAAACGAATCTTGGAGTGTAACGTTCTTGTCCTTCCTCAGATTTCCATTTTTGAAATACGAGATTGTTGCTGACTTATCAGATAGAAAATTCCAGATTATTAGCCTCGCTGGAAGAGACCATATGTATCTGCACCTGTACCTAACTTTTGTAACTAGGTGTCGCCGTGCATAAGGCCGGGAAGAGACGGTATATGAGTTTTAAAATGGTTTGTATAATAAGTGGCAGTTTTATTCGAAGTTCTCTTATTTTGCGATAATTCGTAGCTGAGGAGCCCTGGGGACAGGTTTATTGTTCCGAACAATGGATTAAAGAATGACAAATAATTTCAGAATTTTTTTATGAAGAAAATTCATGACTTTAGTCAAGTCCATTTTAATAATAATAATTAGTGTCTCAGTTACTTTCGCCGAGGGAGAACCCTTTACTACTAGAGGACACCTACGTGAAGATAAATTACAAAACCTAATAATACCTATTGCTGTATAGATTACAACCATTCTACAACTAAAGACAGTTTTAGGAGCTTTCTTATTAACGATATTTGCGTGGTTTAACACACAGGAATTGTCGCCCAGTTACCTAAAGAGCTAAGCGCCTTCTTGACGCAAGTCCAAGGGAAACTCAGTAAAGTTATTAAGAGTGTAGGAAAAATTGACCATGGATTATATCCTTTACATTTGTTTTCCGAGTTTCTTTTTCTTCTTTATTTTAACCCAACATTTAGTCAAGAATGTTCAGTTCAGTAGAGCTGGTTTAATTAACGATACTAAAAACCAAACAACAAACAAACAAACAACAACCTAAAGAATCTAAGAAAGAATGACGTGTAAGAACGTTTTTCCTCCATATAGGCCTTATTCCCAAAATAGTCCCTCATTTTTAGATCACTCCCGGCATCTGAAAACTCAGGAGTGTATGGAAGTAGGCAGTTCTCTGCCGCGAATTTTACTCACATGGACTACTTAAACGGCTCTACACGCATTTTCACGAAACCATCCACGAAACGTGCGTGGTAACATCCGCGAGTGGACTGAATACCTAAAAATAGCTTGAGAGGGTCACGAGAATAGGGCCTAGATGAGAGATAAACTCACTTACTCTTCATCCTCTCTTGGTAGAATTCATTAACTAAATATTCTGACCAAGGACACATCCGGAGTTAGAAAGGTAAATTACCGATATAATTTCATGAGGAAGAATATTCCAGGTTTTCGCCTCATTTGTCTTATTTAAAGGAGCACAGTCACGGCATTTTGAGTTATTTTGGCCACGTACAAAGTTACCTTTAAATTGAAGGAAACCTGAAAATAGTGGTTTACTAAGACAGAAAAACACAAAAGAGTTAAAAATAAACTATAAAGGAACAAGGATGGTTAAGGATGGAGAAGATTAAAATGGATTACAAGCGATGAACCTAAAACCTTAGGATAAACTTTTCAAGATGCTTAAACCGTGACGTGGCTCCTTTAATCTGTAACCTCTTCAGGTTAAATAATATCTTCCTTGACTTCTCTCCACCTGGCGCGCCTTTTCCAATGAACGGAGAACTGAGCCTGCGATCGGCTTCGTGGACGGAGATCTCATCGAAAGTTACCTNCACGAAACCATCCACGAAACGTGCGTGGTAACATACGCGAGTGGACTGAATACCTAAAAAATAACTTGAGAGGGTCACGAGAATAAGGCCTAGATGAGAGATAAACTCACTTACTGTTCATCCTTTCTTGGTAGAATTCATTAACTAAATATACTGACCAAGGACACATCCGGAGTTAGAAAGGTAAATTACCGATATAATTTCACGAGGAAGAATATTCCAGGTTTTCGCTTCATTGTCTTATTTAAAGGAGCTCAGTCACGGTATTTTGAGTTATTTTGGCCACGTACAAAGTTACCTTTAAATTGAAGGAAACCTGAAGATAGTGGTTTACTAAGACAGAAAAACACCAAAGAGGTAAAAATAAACCATAAAGGAACAAGGATGGTTAAGGATGGAGAAGATTAAAATGGATTACAAGCGATGAACTTAAAACCTTAGGATAAACTTTTCAAGATGCTTAAACCGTGACGTGGCTCCTTCAATCTGTGACCTCTTCAGGTTAAATAATATCTTCCTTGACTTCTCTCCACCTGGCGCGCCTTTTCCAATGAACGGAGAACTGAGCCTGCGATCGGCTTCGTGGACGGAGATCTCATCGAAAGTTACCTAGACCTCCCGCGGGCAAAGATGGAAGAGGTGGCCGTGGGACTTCAAGTGAGTCTTGTGTTGTGTTGCTTCATTGAAATATTTGTTCTACTGTAAAATTTCAGTAAAATTTTGAGTCAAAACGAACAAATTGAGTTAAACACGCAAGAGATCATGTAAGATACGTGCGCGACTTTAGGCAGCTGCGAAATGAAGCCTGAAAAATAATCAGGCTTGAACGGGACTCGAACACATGACCTCTGCTATATCGGTGCAGTGCTCTACCAACTGAGCTATCAAGCCAACTGGAAGCTGGTAACGTTGTGAAAAGATTTAAAAAGTCTTTTGATGACGTAAATTTTCAATGGGTGTCTTTATACCTGGTAAAGAAGACACCCTTGAACTTTCAGCTCTCAGCTCTATTCTAAAATAAAGTAAACAAGGAAATTGATAGGTTCAGAGGCAAATGTTTAAAGTCGTTTCAAAACATCTACTCTGTAGAAAAAGCTCGCCGTGAATCTTCGTTTTAAGAGCATGGCTTCCGCCCAATCAGAGCACGAGTTTTGATGCTTGTTGGTGTTATTCTTGCCGATAGATTGATGATGGTAGTGGTATGAAGAAAGAGTGTACTGTCGAAGATCTGGTGAAAGTTGTTGAAGAATTAACGAGGATCCATTAATAGTGTGCTTCCCACCGCACGTAATTAAAACTTTACAGTCAATATAAATACTTGAGTTCCACTCGGCGGATGGTCTGTGTCATTGATGCCAGCGGCAGTAAGCGCCACCAATGGGCACTTCATATAGGACTATCGGAAGGTCTGATGAAGTGCTTTGTCATAGTCTTTGTACATGTATTTCATTGGAATTGTTTGCTGTGGATTTATGATTCAGATGCTTACAGCAGTGGTGCTGCGTTTTGTTGTGAAAACCAGGGATATTCAGCTCTGCGCCCTGGGATCACAGTTGTTAAAGTACTTGGTGTGAACGCCCCTTTTTTTCGGTCCGACTCCCGTCTTCGTGACCTTAGTGACCGCGCGATTTCCGTCGGATAGGTTGCTAGGCAACCGAACGTCACGTGTTTTTATGGTGACGTAAGCTTGGCAGCTTTCGCAGTAATCACGAATGCTATTTTATGTTGAAGAACAGTAATGGAAACTCTTCGAAAGCAAGAACTTGCTCAAAAGCAGTTGCATGTTGATGAAGCTCTTTTTTGGTTGTTAAAAACGGGCTATTTACACTGGCAACTTCTCTACAGGAAAAGCTCTTTAGTTGCGTGGTTTCCTCAGCTTAAAACCAGAGCAAAGCAAGAGATGCCTTTAGGGAAATTGTGGTTTTTTAAGTGTCTTAATCTTGAACGTTTGGTTTTACGCTTTGCTACTCTGATACAGTGAGTATTTAGAGATAAGACTTCAATCATAGCGAAACATGTTGTACCATATTGTTCTTTAAGAGCCAGGCTTATTATTTTCTTTTAAATGTATGCAGATGCCTGTAAAATTGATTTGAATCAAATAATTTATAACAAATATGTAAAATTCCTTATCTAATAAACTTCATCTTTTAAAGGAAACTGATCTTCGCGATAGTGGAAGTGTTGCAGTATTACTCCATTTTCAGGACATAGAACTAAGTCAATGCGAGTGAACCAATCTTCTGTTTACTTAATTATAGCGTACGTACTTGAGGATACTAGAAACAGGCTCTGGGTTTGCACTGTTATTGCGCGCTATGCGAAGGGCATTTTCTTCATTGCGCTTTCTTTATTTGCAATCTCTGTTTTCTTTTTCAGAACAGTTTACTAGTACAGTGTTCTCTGATTTGAACCCGAGTAAATACCTGGCCTGGCCAATAGGCGACTGTCTGCTGGCCATGCGCCATCCTGTTACGTCTCGGATGCAACAGTTGCAATGATAAGGGACGGACCAAATTTGTTTTGTTTTGTTTTTTTTTTTTTTAGGGGCGTGGGGGAGGGAGTGGTGGAAATATTCTGGAGCACGAAATTTTTTCGCACCCCTAGGTTGTACAATCTTGTGCAGAACGAATTCAAAGATGCTTTGCCTTTCAAGGATCAGTGTTCAGTTTTCTTTTGTTTTGTCATCTATTAACCACGCTTTTATTCGTGAATTAACCAAATGGTGTTCCGTCTCCTTCACGGCCTTGATTCCAGACGTCACGCGTCATGCAACACTTACACAAGACCGTTGCATGACGACCGACCTTCGTAATGGCTATCCAGTGCCCCAGTAAGCTTACACGAAATATCCCTACAAGTGACTCAGATGCTTTAAGAGTAATACAAGTACAAGCGCGTCCCATTCTTGATTTTGTACTGTTTAAGCGTAGAATTGATGAATCTGTATTCTGCTTTGGTCGCTGGATTGAATAACATGAGAGAATTCGAGCGGCTTCTACACGGGTAGTTTTCCTTGTGAAGGGCCATTTTTCTGGACCGGTGAAAGATCGTGCACAGTTGATCCACCAGGTACTTTATCGTGTCGGTGTCCTGAACACCTAAGGTCACGTGTTCCCTTGGTACCCAGTACTCTTTGCTCTCGGAACTGGCGTGTACTACAAGGAGCTCTGAGAATTAAAATCAACCGCGTTTATTAAACGAAAAATACTGATCCTTGTATTGAAGCCCCGAAAACCGTTTCCACGATGTTAAAGATGTTTTTTGGTAATAGACACTTTCGATGTATTAATATTCAGCTTGATAGTGAGGCCAAGAGGACAAAAACAAAAGAAATTAATAAACATGTCATTCAGTTTCCTTTGTTTGTGTCCTCTAGGCCTCGCTGCCAAGCTGAATTTTAATATCTCAAAAGTGGTCTATTCTTTAAAAGAAATCGTCCCTCGGTACAGTGAAGTTAAACAGCTTTAACTAATTTGTCGTGTTTAGATTGTGTTGCCTTCAAGCGCTGAGTCGTTCAACCAAAGATAAGATTGTTTTATCCAAGGATAAGATTGTTTTCCTAACTGAGGTGAACAAAAAGCTATCTGGAAGACGAATAAAAACTGTCGATGTTTCCCATGGCGTTACTTAATCTATTCCCATGAAAAGTCTGGTGAGTGTTGAAATGAATTACTGTTGTTATGGGAAAAGTTGATAGGGTACCTACTACCTGGAACGCTTGGTTTTATTTTGTACCAATTTATTAAGGACTAAGGACTGTTGTGATGTGTTATCAATATTGCTTCAGTAGCCATTGACACGTGTTGATTGATATGTGGTCATCAGTTTTCTGCCTCTTTTAGGGTGGCCAGAAATTCACAAGGTTTTCTGGTGTCACCCGTTAACGGGTGACAATATTGGCACTGTTATTTCTGTGTCAACATTTTACGGTGCAATTAAGAATCTCGCCTTGTCAGACGTGGAGGAAAAGACCTTTAGTCTAAGTGTGGGTGCTCCATCAGATCACACCGCGTAACTCCCTTCCCCAGAACATAAAGTGACTAGGAGTTATGGCCCTCCCCCTCCCCAAACGGGATACTAGGCCATTGGAGAAAGGCACTGTGAGAGAACAGTCTTGCCCAAGAACTCAACACTGATTCTGGTTAAAAAAAGGTTGAGCCTGCATACGAGCCAAATGGCTCATCAGGCCGGAGCTTATCCCGGTTTCTGTAGTATGAAGTGACTAGGAATATTACTACTCCCCCCCGGATGAAATGCTAGTCCATCGCAGGGTTACCCTCTGCATTAAATTCTCTGGTGCCCATTTGTACACCTGGATGGAGAGAGGCACTGTGAGAGTAAAGTGTCTTGCCCAAGAACTCAACACCTCATCTTGCACAGAGCTCAAATCCCGACTGCAAAACTCACTAAGGTCTTCTCAAACACTTCATTTCTTATTCTGAAACAATAAACTCGTTACTAACCTGCTGCCACCAGACGCCAAGCAAGCGATGCAATGAAAATTATAAACCCCAGCATTTCCGTTCTAAATGGATCTTCTGGTGGTCACAGAAATCAAGATACGTATTTCGTGATCCTTAATATTTCATCGCAAAATTTGAACAAAAAACGCACTTTTAATCTCTATTACACAGACTTCAATTGCTGGTTAACAACTTGGCTTTGAGCTCTCGACCAATCAAACTGGAAAACCATTTGGGCTGTCATGTATCCGTCATAAAGTATTTTAGCACCCGCTCATTGTAGTTTAGAGCCACTCTTGGTAATTACACTGATGTGGTCTCCTAGTATTGTCGTCCAATTTGGGATATAATTAGATTAAAACTCTGGCTGCCAATTCGGAAAACCATTTTAGTAATCAGTTATCCTCATACAGCACATTGTGTTAGCCCCATTAGTTTTGTCTTCACGGATGTAATTTGCCGGATGACCCACGCGTGGGTGGTGTGATTAACGCTATTTCCTAAACGATAGGGGGTTTGGTAGAGAGGTTTAGTTTGTCATGTAGAATGGCCGAAACAATTAAGCTTGTTACCGTCTGGATGGAATTGCGGGTATTAATGTCAGCTGTGTGCTCAAACCTTGGTTTTGTTGCAGATAAGCTATTATGGTGAGATTGAGACCCAATTTGGTGGTAAAATTAAATATCTCCGTACGAGTGCCAATTCTAAAACTGGTTAGATGAGAGCAGACACAAGGCCCTTAGACTGAAAAAAAGTTTAAATTAACCACATTGATTAAATGACTCGACGTTTGAGTGTTATCACTGTACAAGAAATCAAAAGTAAATGGAAACTGAGTTGGAAAATTACAAATTGGATTAAGAAATTTGTCAGTTGTTCTCTTATCTATCTCTTGCCCGGCACTGCTTATGTAACGAACCCTGTAATTTATCTCCATTTAGACTTACTTCGGAGGTCTTTTAAAATCAGTAATTTAAAATTTGTCACTTAATTTCTTACATATGTCTTGTCCGGTACTACAAGTGTAACGAAGCCTGTATTCTATCTCCATTCAGACTCACTTTTAAGGTCTTTTAAAATCAGTAATTAAGTTTTGCAAGTCAGTATTAAACTCGACGAATGAACGTTAATTAACGCGATATTGCAATTGCAATTACACCGGGAGAATTTGTAAATGCAACAATCACCGCTCATTTTGGATTTGTGTGTGAGGAAGAATTCGGTCAGGGAAATCATCTGATTATCGTGACGCCACTGTTTTCAAAAAGCTCCGTTTTCAAAAAGCTCCGCTTTCAAAATGTCTCCCGTCCCCACTAGAACGCAAAGCCGGCGTTTTCAAAATGTTCCTGTTGGGAGAGCTCCGTTGTCGTGACGGATTAGTGTGAACGGTAGGCCTAACCA